TTTAGTCAATATGAAAGCATTGTGCAGAATCCGGCAGAAAACTCTGTTATCTCAGAGTGTGACATGGTGGATTGATGTCAGTTCCCTAGTCATGGCTATGTGTTGCTCTTTGGTATATGCCAAATAGGACAGTTTCACATGTAGCACTGCGGCTCAGCTGGTAATGTTTTCAAAAGAAGTGCAGCTGTTACCCTGCTTCCGTGTTAACATGTAGACCTAGCATGTACATTTGTTTGTCATGTGTTGTGCTCTGTTGGCATTCAGGGGGAGTGGCAGGTGTCACCCAAGCCTCCTTGCAGTAAAGTTTTATGAGGGCTTTTGTAAGTGTGAGGTTGCTGTTCCTGCTGTCAGCAGCAGGTTGTTACAATCCGTGACCCCGGCCCGCAAAGTCAGACTCTCTGAGCTCTGGATCCATTGTTGTAGGACTGTGTGTCTCAGTAGCTAAGCAGCAGTTGGCATGCAGCCACACCGAGCTCTGTGTCATGCAGAGTTGCAGAGGCAGAGAGCTTAGTCAGACACACACACACACACACACGCTTGAAAAATTATATACCCCATACATATAACTAGAGATGTGCACTAGAGACAAATTTCCTCACTCAGCCAATTTAGTGATCAATATGCTTGGTTTTCCTCAATGAAATGATCGGTGTGAACTATTTCTCGACATTACCCAAGTGAATTAAGAAGAGAAATCAAAGGTTAAATTTGAGAAAATAAAGCTGTCACTCAAAACTGTTCTTGCTGTCACCCCACTGGTCATTATCTTTAATATAAAATGTCAATTAGTGGAGCTTTGAATATTGAAATTGACATCATTAATCACCAGCTAGATGGAAATCCCAGCCTCTGATATTAAAATGTAATGGTTTTCATTTATATGCACCACCCCGATATTCTCACCATACTTTTGACTGCTTTGCATATACGATGCTGCATGAAATATTGGTCCAATATGATCATAATTTCCAGAGAGACTGGGCTGGCTGAGTCGATGTCCTTGAGCTCCACAGGAGAAGGCGAGAAACGTGGGCTCTGGACAGGCAGCTGCTGTTTTTGTTGATTTCTTGATAACGGTGTTGAGACAGAAGGATAATTCAGCATTCTGTACATCTGTTCAATAACAGGACCCACTGCACTCTATTTTTCTTTTGGTCTTCAGTGTCTGGATCAATAGGTAAAAATCAATTCCCAGCAAGTCAGCCAACAGCTCCCTCAACACTACTTACTGTGCACACGTGTAAGTGTGTGTGTGTGTGTGTGTGTGTGTGTGTGTGTATAGGGGATTGCTCATGCAAACAGTTTAGAGCATGGTGTTTTAGTATGCAATGGTAATGCCGCATGTGTGCGTGTGTGTTAGCATGTGGGATTAACCTCCTCTGTCAGGGGAGCAGGTGGGGCTCAGTCTTATATCCAGTTTTGCAGTTTGCACACACCCATCTCCACTTCCCCCTTCTTCCTGAGTCCTCCAGGTCCTCTGTTTTGCTTTTATTGCCCGTAGCCAGAGTAAAACAGGCTTCCTCCAACAGAACTTCACTGTCCGCTGTTAGAAAAAGAGCTGAGAAGATTCACAACCATTCCCACCACCTGCTGATTTTTATTCAGAAATATCGATAAGACGTTGCTGTGTGAAGAAAATGAAGCGCTTGCCTTCACTTAAATGTGATTAACCCTGGTCTGATTTCTTTCTGTACTACTAGAGTTTCACCTCTGCCCTCTTTTCTCCCTCTTGCTTTGTGTGATGAAGCTGTTTATAGTTCACAGCTATACTGAGTTGTGGTGTGATACTCTTATTATAGATTTAGTGTTAACGCCTTGGGAGCATGACATCAGGAAGTGAACACAAAGTGTTACATCTTCAGTTGTGAGGCTGTGAAAAAGTTTGTATGTTGGTAAGGATGTATGAGCAGGTAAACTTTCAGTTAGCAAGCACTCGAACATTAATAAGCAGTTTGGAGTCCGAGCATGTGACCTTTCACCTGTAATATGTCCAACAAGTTGATTCTCTGAAGAGTGTTTCTCTTACAGAATCCAGTTCATTAGATTTTATTATGATTGTTGCTGATGGATGGGCTGGGCTGAATATTTCTCTTGCTGTTCTGCTCCTTTTCACGCACAACGGTCTCTAGAGTTTACTCAGAATGGCACAAAAAAACAAAGACCATCCAGTCAGCGGCAGTTCTGCGAAAAGAATGATGAGAGAGGTCAGAGGAGAATGGTCAAAGTGGTTGGAGCTGACAGAAAGGCTACGATAACTCAGTGGTGAGCAAAAAGCTTCTCAGAATGAACAACACGTTGAACCTCGAGGCAGATGAGCTACAACAACAAGACCACCTGAGGTTCCACTCCTGTCAGCCAAGAACAAGATATCTCAGACTGCACCCAGCACAGGCTCCCAAAAACTGGACAGCTGAAGACTGGAAAAACGTAGCCTGAATCTGGATTTCTGCTGAGGCAGCATGAATCCACGGACCCAACCTGCCTTGTGTCAACAGTCCAGGGTGCTGGTGGTGGTGGTGTAATGGTGTAGTGAATGTTTTCTTGGCCCACTTTGTGCCCCTTAATACCAATCAATCATGGTCTGAATGCCACAGCCTATCTGAGAATTATTGCTGACCATGTGCATTCCTTTATGGTCACAATTTACCATCTTCTAATGGCTACTTCCTGCAGGATAATGCTCCATGTCTAAAACTGGTCTCATGAACATCACAGTGACTTCAGGGAACTTCAGTGGCCTCCCCAGTCACCAGATCCGAATCCAGTAAATATATGATAATTATGTAACTGTCACTTTAAAATATTGACAGTGAAATGTTAGCCACAGTCCAATCCTCCAATCAGTTTCCACTTTGCTATATACCGTAATGTTTTCTTAAATAAACTGTGGACTATAAGAGTGATGCATTGTTTCATTGTTAAGTGTTCTCTCCTATCTTAAGCTTTTCTTTCATCGTGTAATTTGCAAATGGAGACTTCAAGTCGGAAACTCCACTATCACCCACAATGTATCAAAACTGGTCAACCGATGTGCGAACCTGATGGTAGTGGAAACATCTAACTTCCTGTTTCTGAGTGGGGAACTGTTTGTGTGTGTATGCACGCACCCACAATGCAAAGGACTGCCCTCCTTATCTGACCCCACTGGGGTCAGACTATGCTGTATTTATCTCTGCAGAGCACTGCACTGTCCATAATGTGTTATGGAAGTAAGATGACAGAAATTCATCAGTTAAAAACAGTTGAACAGTTAAAGAAATAAGTATCAGTCTGTTAGGAGGAGTTCTTTTTTCTCCATGTTGTCGGGTTAGTGGTTAGTGTCTTTGACAGATTGTGTTTGTGTGTGTATCACTCAACATATAGGTTTTCTTGAAATGTAAGCTATATTGTCCTAGTTTGATCCATCAAAGTTGCTCCTACTGTCTTTAGTCCAGACATTGTGTTTGACATGAATATTTACCTGGAAGGCCTTTGCATGAACTTCTCCCGCTTGGTCTGACGGGACTGTCTCAGCCTTCCTGCTGTTGAGTGCTGAGGAACAAAGCTCCCGCCTTTCCCCATTCATCATCAAAACATTGTACTTCCTATGCTTTATTCATGCGTGGTTCTGCATTCTCTGAGCAGAAAGGCACTCTGGGAATCGTAGGTGAAATATTCTGCATCAAACGAAGATGACTGCCTGTTGGTGAAGTGGTGTTTTTGTTAGGAGAGCTAGCTTACCATATTTATACTCTGCTTTTTTTGTCTAGTAAATGGGAGAGTGTTAGGACATGCAGGAAAGGTCATGAGTTGAAACCCGTGATGTCGAGAGTGCATGAGATCGTCCTCAGCTTATTGTAACAGGAAGTTCATCCTCTTCTTTTTCTCATGCCTACTTTTCTCACACATACTTTCATTCTCTGCTCGGTGCTGTGACTTCCTGTGTATTTTGAAAGCTGTCTGTGTTTTTGAGTCATCCTCTGGAGTCAGCATTTACCATGTAATGTGTGGCATTTACAGAAACCCACCTCACTTAACAAGAAGAATAAGTCACATGAAGTCATATTATTATTTGAAGCTTTGTAGCAAAATACTTGAGTTGAGTTGTGTACGGGTGTGTTTTCCATTTGTACCTGACTGAGCAATTTCAGCTCTTTAAATGGCTCAGAATATCTTTGATATGTTTAGGCTACCTATGGCTGAAAGAGATAATCTTGTTCCTGTTTTCCCTTATTTATGTTTTCATAATTGATGATACAAGGTCCCTTTGTACTGTGGTGTTTGTTACTGAAAACTCCAGTGTTGAATGGGGAAGAACTGGACAGACATGTGCCATCTGCTTTTTGATACTCATCACAGAGGAGCTTCACATACACAACATTTGCATATAAACAGCTCGTTGGTTAATAGTTCCAGCCCTCAGGGGTCGCTCAGACTTAAAACAGCCCGGCGTTAATCTTGTTTCAGGTACCGGTGAGATGATGAAATGTGGTCCAGGAGGTCCAGTTTGAGAAACAGATCCATGTTTGAAGTCTTGTTAGACACCAAAACCCTCCACAGTGGTTCATAATTCTATGAAGCAGGATTTTACAACTCTACATATTTGATTGGCCAACGCAGCGTTTGATGAAGATTGCGTTGTGGTAAAAGTTTAGGGCTACCCTGCTGCTTTGTTTGCTGGAGCACTCTGCATTTGCACCCCTCCTGAGTCACTGCAACCCCTCATTCAAATGAATAAAAGGTGTCATTATAACATGTGGACTGCTGTGGCTAAAACTGGGATATTTACACACAAACCTGATGTCAAATCACATTTAGTATTCCACAGAAGGGTTTCAGAAATTGCTCCAAAATCACATGATTTTTGTTGTCATTAGAAACTGTGAACACTATCCACACGTATAAAATCAAACAGCAACTGAAATCTCTGGCAATTGCATTTGAATCCTGTTTCCTCCTGTTTGGCCATCGTGACTCAACACACTAATCTTTGTGTTAATCCTTTCTTTGTCACTCTGCAGGGCGGGACGAGCGCTGCGGGAGACGGACACATGAAGCATGAGAGGGTGGAGCTGAGGCTCAGCTGACCCTTCCCCTTCCTTCTCCTCCTTTCCCCCAGTGCTCCATTCGATCAGCACCTCCCCCCTCCCTTTCCCTCCTTTCCTCTTCCTTTCTCCCATCACCCTGTTGGATCTCACCCATCTTGCCTCCCCTCCTCCTCTAAACCTCAATCAGCCGTGCCCAATGTACTCCCCAGAGCAGGAAAACATCTCCACCACCGCCTCCACCAAAGTGCCAGTGAAGTATGGAGAGCTCATTGTGCTGGGGTAAGCATCAACACATTACATGCACGTACCAATATATCCAGAACACACCTCTGTGACACTAAAATTATGGTCTAAATAAGAAGTAAGTGTAGACAAGACGCTCAAATTCCAATCATATCATATAATCGATTAAATGAGACGACAATCAGCACATTAATCATTAATAAAAATAATCATTATTTGGTCTCTGGTCAAGATAATAGCATGTTTTTTTTCCCCTCAATTTCCTCAAACAATCCTTATCCTTAGATGAAACTATCTTAAGATTGATATTGAATGTGTTGATATCTCTAGGGAATGAGGTTTGTTTTCTTGGTTACTGCATGTGTGTAGATTGAATGTGAACTGTGTGTTTTGGCGATGATTGACTGTATTGGTCGGACGGTGTTGGCTCTATGAGTCATGGCTGATAATGGCTGGATGTGTTGGTCACAGTAGTTGGCTGGTCTAGTTCACTCCAATCAGTGTTTCCAACCCTCCCAGTGTTTGCTCTCTGGTTTGGAACCACATGAGTTCACTCTGCACGCAGACCTAAGAAGTGACCTACCCATGTGTGCTTTCTGGTTTGAGTTCTTGAGGTATATAAATTGAAGACAGTTGCTGAAACAAGTCAAGTATTTTTTAAAAACAAATTCACTTCCACGCAATAATTTTGATAATGTGCAATTTGACATTTTTACCTCTTAAGGCGGAGACACACAATTACAATTATACAATTATAGGGGTCGCTGCCAGTTGTTATCGTAAAGATTTGTTTTATCATGTGACAAAGTTCAGTCACCTCCAGCTCCCTCACCATCTTTACGTGTGGTTTGTGCAGTATTTGTTGGTTCAGGCCCGTTTTCAGATTTGTCCCAAGCTTTAAACTACCTGTGTAAATGCAGACACACATTCTGGCCGTGGATTTCACACTATTCTGCTGACAGACAGTGGATGATTTGACATATCTAAAAATAGGCTTTGTAAATGTTAATTAATAGGAAGGAAATGCACTTGTTACAGTTCTTTAGATAAATAAATTGTTTTGGTGAGAAACACTTAATGTAAACATAACTTTGCTGCTTGAAGGCACCAGGATACAAACAGTAAAATATTTATATGGATGCAAAGTCTGAACTAAAAGAAGCAGTTGTGTTTATTTAATGGGACTTCCTATTGTTCTAATGATTACCATGTGCCAAAGATGTCATATTAGATAAGAGATAATCATAAATTTAAGAACAGTGTAAATAGTGGTGGATAACAGAAAAGGAGCCAATGCTGTGGTACAAGACCAAGTGTCCTGGGGGAATAAACACTAAGGATTTACTGTACAAGCAGTTTGATTTGTCAATTAACCTTTGTATATCTTCTAACAAGCTCAGCAGACTAAGCCTCTGAACGGTTCAGCAGAAGAGTTGACAACAAGATATGAACAAAGGCAGGGATCCAGAAAGAACAAACGGAAATGCTTTTCAAGAAAGCAACAGAAACAACTGGGATATTTTTTGCCCCGTCGCACAGGGTCATGCACTGCGAGTACACACAGTTAGGATTGTTCAGCGAGAGTTACAATTAAGTATTTTTGGAAGATGAGATTAACCACATTGCTCCGTATATTACAAGATGGGATCGGTTTTGGCCAGAAGCAGCACCGGATTCTCATCTTAAACACCTTGGCTTTCTCTTCCTCCAGAGAGTTGTTTTGACTCGAGTCCACATACTCAGCTGTAGGAAAAACCCTCGACCCCACCCTATATCTCTAGCATAGGAGACAACTGCACACATACACAGACAAACACAGACAAACACACCCACACACACACACACACTTTCCCCAATAACAACTGACAGCGAAGGACTTCCTTTATCTGTCTGTCTCCTGTTTATTTCCCAAAGGGCTATTCCACCCCACTCCCCATCCCAGCCCACTCTGCAGGAATGCAGATGTCGGAAAGACTCCTTACACGCACATACACACACTTCCTTGCGCTTGTACGAGACAGACACAGCTATATACACACACATATTTTTCATGTCTCACACAGGCACACACAGTTGGTTTCACAGCTGACTCACAGTTTTGTTGTTCGGAGTTATTCTGGAGCCGCATTGTCAGGGAGATGACCGTGGAAATTTTCCCTAGTGGAAAAACTGCAGTGAGCAGTAAATGCAGTCCCATGCCTTTACAAGGGAGAACCCCGGTTTTCCGTTTTGCTCTGCTTTTTCCGCTCCTAGTTTTTGATTCTAGGTCAGGTCACCCGTCTTAAAAGGTCAACAGGGGCACTTCTCGCCGGTTGACATGAGGAGTCACACTGTGCTGCAAGTATGGCTGCTCTAAGTGTAGCGAACACTTTAATACACATTACAGAGCTGGAAGTGCATTTGTTTTCTATGTGGCCTCAGTGGGAGTTGAGCCCCTAACATTAGAACCATGCTCTCACCAACCCTAAGGGAATGTGACACACAAACTATTCACTCTCATTAACATGTGGTTTCTTTAAAGTAAAAGCCATATAAGGTGGTGGAAACATAGGATGCCCTTTTACCCTTGCCAAACACATAACACAGCTTTTATGTTGCTCCTAACATTGACAGAATCTTAAATGTTGCGAGCCCTGATTGCAATTAACCTTTCCAATTATCATTTTGCTGTTCATGAGGACCATGTTGTGAATGAGAATGCACCAAAGGTTAAGGCTGCCTACTGCTAGATGGTATAAAGCTGCTTATATCCCTTCAGGTGCAGTTAAATTTTACTGTGAAACCGTCTCCAATCCATTTAGTGTTTCCTACTGTGTGTTGTCGAAGCTTGACAAACGTGTTGACTATATTTCCCTCTTCATGGAAACACTTCACTGAAACACTGAAGAGTATTGTTTACATTCATGTTTGCTAGCTTCCAGTCTTCTTCTTCCTTGTTTTTGCTGGCACCTTGCTTTGCTTCTTTGCATGTTACCATAGCCAGCTGTTGAGCAGTGGAATAACAGAAATTTGTTGTATAGTACAAATAAAAGTGGGACTCATAAAAAACATTGGTCCATAGTGCTGCTAGAATTACATTTAAGATGTAGCAGGATTTAAATCCAGACAAACCCCAAAACTCTCAGCTCACAAGCCAATTATTGGAAACAACTGCACAACAAACTCATACCAGTTTAAAATACATTCTACTTGATCACATCCTAAATTGATGCTTGACTGTACAGAACTGACCACTTGATTTACTTGCTTCACATCATTTCTCTTCGCACATTTTCTCTGAGCAAAACTCCGAAACTGGGATCATTAAGTCACAGTGGATCAGCCAGATAATCACACTGAATCGACACTTCATTCTCACAAAAAAAAAAAAACCCTGACATATCGACAGCAAGTTAGAGGTCTGCAACCAGGAAAACTATTTATAGGAGGGTCAGCTGAACTGTAGACCAGTGTCTGATAAGTAAAAAATGTCAGTTATGATAATACTTTCTTGCAACAATCATTTGCTTTTTCTGATAAAAAAATGTTTTCAGTGTGCAGCAATTGAAAGGAAAAACACCATTCTCTATTTCACTTCTCCTTCCACTTTGTGCCAAACTGGGTAATCAAACTGGGTCCTCGTGCTTCTTATGGCCGGTTTTTGTTTGCTAGGTGATGGTTGAAGTTTACAGTAAACTACTTGCAAGCCAATATAAACTGTTCTCACGACTGTGCTAACTAAATGGCTGTAGCTGCAGAGAACTCCACACATCTGGTGCTCTGCAGCAGGCTGAAAGTGCTTTGATTTAATTGTGGCTCCTGTGTGACCAAGAACAGACTCGCACACGCAAATACTAAAGGAGAAGCCCATCAACACGTAGCACAGTGTTGTATCTGACCTCGTCAGTAACCCCAATCCAACATTACCATGTTTGAAGCCCTGTGTTGCTAACGGCCTAATCCAGAGGAATGCTGCAGCGTCTCTGGGGACGATCTGTTTAGAGGCACAGTGGACATCCATGTGGCTTTTTAAACAACTGTGACATCACTGGATACACTGGAGTCCCTCCAAATCCACCTCTGTCTGTCCAGATACTGTACATCTGCGATTCAGCTGTGTTGCATTGGCAGGATATCATCCGTTTCTAAGACAGTATAGATTTGCACATGGAGATGGAACTCGCTGCGTTTCCTTCCACACCGTATGTTTAGTTTGGCACTGAGACATTTTAACTTTTTAATATTTAGTTACTCAGCCATAGGTAGTAATTTCCCACACAAGCTTTCTTAATGTTTTTGTAGGGTTGCTCTGTAAGTGGTGGCTTGTTAATGCACACTGCGCTTTAGATTACTGTGTTTGGAGGGATCACACTCACACACACAGGCCTGTTGCTAATTGTGGGAATTGAAGAATACACTATGTGTCTGCGCACAAAGACTAACTTTTTCCCTAACTCTGGTCCTTCCTGCCTGTATGAAAAACCTGTTCACACACACACATGCACACACACACATAAAAACACACACTTGTTACGAACCTTTGGCCTTTCTGCCATTGTTTTTCAGAATATGTGGATGCATGTATGTACACGCACACATTACTGCTACCCATGGGAACTCGGGTTTGAACTGCCAGCAAGACTTTGAGCTTTCTCCAGCAGACTGCCCTGCCCTCTCTCCGGTTACGGGCTAAACTTCACCATGGTTACGCTCTTGCCATGGTTACTCTTCCCAAACGTTGCTGTGGCTCTGTTCCCTCACCATGGTTACTCATAAACCCTCCCAGCGTTGTTTGATCCCAGCAGATTTGCTCTCTGAGAGAAACATTTAGCTGTAGGCTGGGCGTCCTTACAACCTGTCTGTGCCGTCTTTACTGGACCCAGTGCAGTGGGTGGGTTCATTTCAAGAGTCTGATTGGTCAAAGACACGTTCCAACTGGGCTCAGGTTCTATACACCATGGCAAGTTCTGCTATTTTAAACACATCTTTTTCTCTCTTGTTTTCTCCTGTTTTTGTTTGCTACTTTAAAGAAAACTTTTCAGACATTACACACTCGAACCCTTGATTTCTGTACGTGCTTACCTGCAACTGTGACTATTTATCATGACTGTTTCTTAAACATTTGTTACTGTGTTGTCCAGTATTTGTAAAGTTTATCACTGGATTCCTGCTTTGGAAAGTTTTGGGCAATGATACATGCTCTGAACGTTTTGGAGAAGTCAAGAAAGTTCTTTTTATTGTATTTCATTTTATTTTCATTTGTTTTTGCTGACTTAGCCTAAGCTTAAGTTTTTAATATCATGTTTGTCAATATTTAAACACTATTGAAAAGAACAATATACATGATTACATTAACAGTGAGAATTACTGGATTTTTCTTTAAAATAGCTAATTAATGACAAACATTAATTGAAAACTGCAAAACAAAAGGCTGATGGAAGCAGTTATCACAGCTGACTATAGTTGCAGTATATCAGTAAAGTCAGAGGAATCCCTCAACTTTTGTGGCTGCTGGATTTCATAACAGCGTTTAAGGTAGCGATCGGCGTTTATGTATGCGGTAATGTTTATAAAGCTGTGGTACTGCTCTCAGGAATTTCCCTTGACAGTGATGACGGCTTATCTGAAACACGTGTGTGCAGTAAAGAATAAAATCTTGTGACTTCTATATATTCACAGACCCACCAACTGATCTTCACATATGTGCACGAGTAGCTGGAAGCCCAAAGTACTGCTGCAACAAATGTGAACTTTCTTTCTCCATTTCTCCATTCTGTTTTTTAAATCACTTAATATTGTTGTCAATGGGTTGAATGAGATATCTTGATTTTTATAAATGCAGTTTTTTCTCACCCTGGTGTCTGAGCATCGTCTGCTCAGAAACACACAAACACGCTGTTGATATACTGAAACGTAGATGGAGATGGTATTTCTGAGTGTTTTCTTACTTTAGGATATCAAGCAAGACAAACACACACACACACACACACACACACACACACACACACACACACACACACACACACACACACACACACACACACACACACACACACACAGTCCCGGTGTTGTTGGGAGTCATAGAGACTCCATTCTCTCGGAGGGAACGCCTCTGTTTATTCTCCTTTCCTCAGTCATGTATCAGGCTAAATGAGTCTCTCTGTGTGTTTATTTTCTCAGTCCTTCTGGGGTTATGTTTGGAGGGCTCTGTTGTTTATGGGGATATGATTTGCTTTTGTAAAAAAGCAGGTATGAAAAGTATAGGCTGTTGTTTGTGTGTGTGTATGCACATAACCATGGAGGGAGGGCACCAAAATGCCTCGAGCGTTTTCCACAATGACTGTTTTTCCAGTGTATTATACAGCTGCTCAGACAATAATGCCCCATTGTTTATTGTTTTTTTGCATGTATGTGTGTGTGTTTGTGTGTGTTTGTGTGCATGTCTATGTATGTATGTGTAGGTACAATGGCTCTCTGCCCAACGGCGACCGAGGTCGACGTAAAAGCCGTTTTGCACTTTGTAAGAGGCCGAAGGCAAACGGGGTGAAACCCAGCACAGTTCATGTCGCCTGCTCTCCACAGGCAGCCAAGGTGCAACACACACACACACACACACACACACACACACAGAGTGACACACAATACAGTATCATTTGACCCATTTTTAAAAGGTACAATGGTTTTTACACAGTGTTTAACTGGAACATGAGAAAGAATTATAAGAGAAACAAATGTGAACAGTTCAGTGGAAAGTAACTGAGTTTTTTTTTTTTTTGTTGTTTTTTAACAAAGTCCTGGGAGACACATGCTCATGTGTTTCCATCAGCAGTTATAAGGTCGTCCAGAAATCCTCAAATCTATTAAATGAACAGGGGATTGTGAGGGGTTTGTGTATGTGTGTGTGTGAGAGGACCTTTGCTTTTTTTGGTTTAACATCTGCACTTAATGGATTCTCTGAGGACACACACTCTCCGTCGCTCACACACAGGCCAGGCTTTTAGCTGCAGTAATTTAAAGAGTCTGGAAGAGTGATTGTCCTTTTCTGTCATGTGGGTGGTCCTGGTCCTGACTGACCGAAAAGACATTGAGGCTGTCGTAGGTCCAGCTAGTGACTACATAACTGAACTCTTCACCCACCCCACCCTTCCTCTGTCTGTCTGTCTGTCTGTTGTTCGCTGTCAGGATCAGTGAGGAGATGTCAGAGGTGTTTTTGCGATAAAGCATGTTCGGGTTCAGTCCTTGTTTACATTTCAAGTTGAGAGTTTTAGAGCATCTAAAGGATCTTGTCTTTTGTCTTTCTCCCTCTCTTTCTCCCCTCCCTATTAATTTATCCCTCCTCTGTTCTTTCTGTCTCAACAGGCCATAAGTAACAAAGACCAGCACAGCATCTCGTACACTCTGTCTCGAGCCCAGACGGTGGTGGTGGAGTACACCCATGACAGCAATACAGACATGTTCCAGGTAACAAGCCTCAGCTTTTATCAGAATGACTAGATTTTTACAACCAATTTACAGTCCTTGTTATTTTCCACTTCACTGCTGCACTCACACACACCTGCTTAAGTAGGGGTTGGTAGCAGAGCTGGACCATTGAATGTGTTAGAGCAGAGGTTTTCAAGCTGCACACAAACCAGCGTTAGACTTTGTGTTGGAGTGTAGGTGATTCAATTTTTAATGTTAGTCATCAATTATTTAAATATCAGCAATTTTAGCATATTCATGTCTGTCGATACACAGTATATTGCAGCTATATTATTTTCTTTAACTCAAATAGAGGCAACAACGTGCATCTAATAATCAGTAGATTGCAATATAATTGGGTCAGCTGTTTGAGACAAAGCTGGTAAAGTCCTTAAAACACAAATATACAAAAATCATTTAGATGAGGTTCAAAGTTCATTCTTGACCTTGGAAACAACAGTCATGAAAATAATCTCACCACAAAGTCTGTGTTGACTGTTTCTGAGCTTTCATGGAGTTGTAGAAGTTTCCCTTTTTTCTCAGCATTTTAAGAAGCTGACATTCACTCGCGACCTTTGAAACAGCAGTTATGAAAAACCACCACAGTCAATTTAGTAGCTGTCCCGGAGCTTTCGAACATATCACATGGTATTCATCAGCAGAGGGGAAAAAAACTCATTAAATCTTGAAATACATTTTGTATTAAGGAATACAACGAGTGTTCAACACATAACACTGAGGATGTGTCTGAGTCAGGCGTGGATTAAAGGTTTCAATTCTGCATTATCAACACAGTGTTTTTCAAAAGTCAGCCTGTTCCCTGCCTGAATATAGCATTAACACTCTGGGAGGCCGCTGTGTGCGAGTAGCTGTCAGTACCCATCATCATAGTACAGAGTGTCCCCAAAGTTATTATGGGTTTTGTAAAAGTTATCAATGCATGTGAACCAGCTGAAAACTCGTCTCCAAGGTCGTCTGGCTTCATGTAGTTTAAGAAACAGTGTGACATCCACCTGTCATTTCTTTTTAATTTAAAATGGGTTCTGTATTGTACATATTCTCTATTTATGCCTTAAACAGCCTTTGTTTCTGTGTTTTATGTTCTTATTCCCCACAGAGAATCATTTATTATTGTCTCACAGCTGGGATGCGTTCTTAACTAATCTTGAAATCTGTCCGGAACTCGTTATAACACATCTTCATCTCTGTCCACCAGATCGGTCGATCGACAGAGAGTCCCATAGACTTTGTAGTGACGGACACGGTGGCGGGCAGCCAGAGTAACGCAGACACCCAGTCGGTTCAGAGCACCATCTCCCGCTTCGCCTGCCGCATCATGTGCCAGCGCACGCCGCCTTACACTGCACGCATCTATGCCGCAGGCTTCGATTCTTCCAAGAACATCTTCTTAGGGGTGAGCTGTGTTTCGTCTGGTGTCTCAGAGACGTGTAGACGAGTGTTACAGAGTGAAAGACAAAAACATAAAAGATAAAAGCATAAAGCACCGCAAGGAAATGTGACCGAAAGACTGAGATATGAAAGAGTCACACAGTTTGTGTTCTGGTGATATGAAAGATAAAACTCTCAGTGCAAAACTTTTAACCTGTTTTCTTTTCCCAATGATGTTGGCTTTTATTCTTTATCTATTTTTCATTTAATGTCAGAAGCAAACATCATTCTTCTCGATTTGTCATTATCATGACAGCAGAGGGACAGCAGCTGATGTCCTGTCACTGTGTCCTTGTCTATAAAACTGAATTCACACATGCTCAAAAAAAGAGGAGCTGATTCTTGATAATTTACATTAAAGCTCCATCTTGTCATATGGATGTTTTTGCATCAACATGGTGCTGCTAAATTTTCCACTATACCCTTTCATTCAAGTGAGTGACGAGTAGAACATGGGTTTTACACACATTAGGGTCGGGACTATAAAATGAATAGTTGAATTGTCCCCATCCTGCTCACATCCGCCCATGTCTTTGTTTTCATCAGGAGAAAGCTGCTAAGTGGAAGACGCCTGACAGTCAAATGGACGGGTTGACCACAAACGGCGTGCTGGTGATGCACCCTCGGAACGGCTTCACCCAGGACTCCAAACCGGGCGTCTGGAGGGAGATCTCGGTCTGCGGCAACGTCTTCACCCTGCGAGAAACACGCTCGGCACAGCAGCGGGGAAAGATGGTGAGAGAAGATATAAAACATGAAAAGCACGTAGTACAGCATTAACTTATCGCGGTAGTCACTAGTAGTCACTCTCTTTTTTTAGCTCTGTTTTTGGTCTCCTCCACCTGCTGAGGGAAATATCCAGCTCTTTAGCTGCTAAATGCGCCACCGAGTTCACCAGCTGTCTGTCTGCTGTTTGGTGCTTAGCAGGTAGTCAAAATCAATATGAGAGTGTTGAGAATGAGCCGGGCCAGTTGTGGGCCAGTTGTGGGCCAGTTGCGGGCCAGTTGCGGGCCAGGCAGCTAAACAGTGAGCTGAAACTCACTTTAAAGCTCCGTAAAGCTCGAGGGGATCTGCAGAGTTGGGTGATAATTCTCTGTAGGTTCATCACTATGACATATATTCACATTGTTTGCACGTTGTTATTTGATACGTTGGTATTAAAACATAAAATGTCCGAGTTGGATATCAGCTCAAACTTCTGATAGAAGCAGCTTGTCAACGTGGACAAAGTTTGAACTGGACGACCTGATTTTTCAAACTGGTTTCGTTTCAGAAAAAGCCTCTCTCTATCCTTTACAACTTTCTCATCCTTTCCTTTATCGTCACACGCTCGCACCGATCTTTGTTTTTTTTTTTTTTTTTTAATTCTCCTCTCCATCTTCACCTCCCACACTGCACACATCATCAACCACAAGCTCACAGTCAGCATGTCCTCAGTTCTAACATTAACCCGCCTTTTTATCTGGCGTCCCACATGCTTTCAAGTCACACCAGCGCAGCAGAAATTAACAGCTCTCTTATCTCCACCTGGCCTTTACCATACAAAGAGTTAACCACATGTGCATTATCTACTGCTATAGAAACCACTCATTATTTCACAGGTGATGGGCAGTTTGGATTGTCAGCTGTGGGCAAGCACCTATTTTCATTATGTACGGTGACAAAACATGATGGGGTTTAATTGGCTGAATGCACGCAGGAGCGAAGAACACTCAGTGAAGTCTTGTGTTGTTCTGGTTGATGGTGATGATGTTACAGCAGTATTACTGTGAATGTGTAAAGAGACAAACTAGAATCAAGTTGGCGCTCACACATTTCTGAATAATATGGAGTTTCACTTGCAGATGGAAAAACACAGTGTTTGGAAGTTTATACTTATTGAAATGTCTTCTACAATCTCATGCCTTGTGTTCTCCTTTGAGACAGAATTAGAAATAAAAATGGAGGAGTGATTTATATTTTATATTTTTTTCGTTTCTCGAGGGCGGCTCTAATATTTCGTGACTTCATGGGAATGCTCTGAAGAAGACAGTGTACTGGCCAGCTGTGCAGAGGAGAGAGAGGAAGCCAGGGTTTGAGCCTCTCTCTCTCTAGCTCTCTCTCATCATTCTTGAGACGTCTATTTCTGTAATTTTGCATGTGAACAGCAGAGTACAGCACTGAAAATGTGCGCCATCATCCCAGTTTCAAAAGCTAGCGTGTTGTCGCTGCCCTTCCCCCCCAGTCCTCCGCCCTGTTCCCTCTATGATGGTTAGCTATTCACCCTGCCTTTGAGTATGGCTGTTAAAGATAAGGTATAAACACTTTTGATTTCCAAACCACTCCTTTCCCAGCATAAACCAGCTCTAAAACGAACAGATTGTCGGATATCTTTGGAATCCCTTTGACCCCGAACAGTTCAGATGCTGGATTAGCGGCGTCTGTGTCCCGCCGCTTCTGTAACTTCCGAAACCAGTGATCCATCATTTACACCCACTTCACGCCATGACCTGTCAGCTGTGCAGCGGTGAGGTTGAAGTTGCTGTGAACTTTCATTTGTTACACAACCATTTGCGGCACTTTTCATGTGAACAACTGAGTGCAGCATTATGAATGTCTGAGACTGTCTGAAAATATGCAGCATTATCCCCATTTTTAAACCATGTCGTTTATTATTTGCTATTAAGAATAATACAACGTTATGTTTATATTCAGTGCCGAGTAGAACCTCTTTCAGCTTTCTAATCTACTCTATTACCGACCCCCTTAAAACCTTTGCAAGTACACAGCTCTCTAAATGGGATAACTGCCCTGTGTTAGTGAAGGTTAACATCTGAAGGACTTTCTGATTGAATGGGAGGAAAAAAGTCGTCTCAGCAGGTTTACCAAGAAGCTCTCAAAGCTGCCTCGTACTCTCCGTGTGTGTTAACAGATACCTGAGGTGTGCGGATGGACGATTTTTAGCTTTTAAAAAACCTTGTTTGTAATCTTCTCTGCCATAAGATTATTTAAAAAAAACAATATCCATTATTTGAAAAACTGTTTAATTAATATAAAGCCGTGAACCAGTGATATGTCGTAGCTATCGGGAAGTTTGCTTCAGTTTTTTGGATGGACTCACTCAGCTTTGCCTGCGGGGCAGCTGGTCGTCCTTCTGCAGTTTGACACAAGGTTGAAGCCAGCGTAATTAGGAATATCTTACATTGCAGTACACACACACACACACACACACACACACACACACACACACACACACACAGATTTTTATGGAGCCTGCTGTGGGTATTGGGAAGTATAAGAGTATAGTGTCCCAGCTCCTGCTGTGTTTAATAAAAGCTTTTGTGCTGATAAATGATCCTCTTTAGTGTAATTAAACGATAACTGTGTGTGGAGGGTGGTAGTGTGTGAATCGACCCTGAGCGCTAGGATCATTGAATTTGAGTGTGGTTATTTATTGATCGGGCAGACAGTTTTTCATACGGTCAACTTTTATTTCAGCGTGACGGTATGTCAATGATGAGCAGCCTCGTGACCTAAAAGTTACTGATTTGAAATCAGCTGGGCAGAAGAAAAACAACAACTGCTGAGACTCTGAGCTCAGACCCGTTGCAGCTGAGCAGCTCGCCGGCCAATGGCGGAGAGACTGTGGTTTTTCTGGGCAGATGTGAATGTGTGTTGTTTTATCAATGTGACATGAAGAGCGCACATGCACCCAGCGAACCGTCCTGGGTTACATGAAGGTTAAAAAGCGTCACCAGCCGGTGGCAGCGTGATGCTGCTGCCGCCGCAGAAATGTGTTTGCCCCGAGACCCACAGTGACCTCAACACCAGCGCTAACATGAGTGACCTCACACAAACCCTGAGAGCTGCCCTTCCCCTCGTCTGTGTATGGCTTTTTTTTTCTTAGGCTATTTCTTATCTACTCCCCTCCCTCTTTCATCATCTTGTCTTTGTCCCACACCGGTTATCTCCACCTGGAACTTCCCTCTGTGTCTGATCTGACCCGAGTCAAAGTGAGTGCCTCCTCAAGACTGTAGTTTAATACATTTTCCAGTAGCTTTCCGCTCGCCCCCCAAGCTCGGCTTGTTCTTTCAATTTCCTTATGTCATCTTGCCTCCAGCTGTTAGTCCCCTGCATCCTCCCTGAATCACTCTGCTGTCAGACAGAAAAATGGGAATGCTGGAGTTACACTGCCACCTACTGTGCTCAGATGAGTAAAACAACTTTACTGGGCTTGAATATCACCTCAACATTGATCACTGTTGTATGAACCTATCTGAAACTGAATTTATTGTATATTATTGTTCTGAGCTGAAAACAATTTGTCAATTGATTGACACAAAATGAATCAGCAACAATCAGTCAATCATTTCAGTGGTTTAATCGAGCAAAAGCTGTGCAACTTTTCTCAGTTTAATGTCACTCAAATCAATATCTTTGGATTTAGGATGAATGGCAACATAAAAGAAGATATTTAAAGATGTTTGACCTGAACTGCACTTCACATTTTATCATTTAGAATCACGTGTTATAATTTTAAGACGCGGTAACCTAAATTTTAGGACAAGAAAAAGTAGGAGAAATACATGAATGAATAAATACAACCATGTCCCTAAGGTCGTTCCTGGTGGAGAAACTGAATAATCAATGGAGCAGATGAATGAAGAGGCTGTTTGGACTGTTTGGACAGCATTTCTAAAAATCCTGCCGACAGCCACCACAAGTTCAGAATGTGGCTGGCTTTTAATTTTGTATGATATTTAATAACCTCATCGTATGACCTGCTGTATTTTATATTCTTATACTTCTGCTGTTGTCACATCTATAACTCTCTGTCTCTCTGCTTCAGGTGGAGACAGAGAGTCAGGAGCTCGTCGACGGCTCTCTCATCGACCTTTGTGGCGCGACTCTGCTGTGGCGCACAGCTGAAGGCCTGTCACGCACTCCCACCCTCAAACACCTGGAGGCGCTGCGGCAGGAGATCAACGCGGCCCGCCCTCAGTGTCCCGTGGGCTTCAACACGCTGGCCTTCCCCTCAATGCGTCGCAAGGACACGCCTGACGAGAAGCAGCCATGGGTCTACCTCCAGTGCGGCCACGTGCACGGCTACCACAACTGGGGCAACCACCGCGAGGAGAGGGAGGGCCGAGAGGGCCGGCACAGGGAGTGTCCGATGTGCCGAGCCAAAGGGCCGTACGTGCCGCTGTGGCTGGGCTGTGAGGCGGGGTTTTACGTGGACGCCGCCCCGCCCACTCACGCCTTTAACCCCTGCGGCCATGTTTGTTCGGATAAGACGGCGGCCTTCTGGAGTCAGATCCCACTGCCGCACGGCACACACACCTTCCACGCCGCCTGCCCCTTCTGTGCCCAACAGCTGACTGGCGAGCAGGGCTACGTCAGACTCATCTTCCAGGGACCCCTCGACTAGCGGGGGCGCCCTCAGCATCCTGTGAGGGAGGCGGAGCGGGGAGTTTTCTGTTTGGACACTGACCCTGCATTGAAAACGGGGACCTACCCAGATATGTTTTCTTTCCTCTACAGTTAAATATAAACTTTTTTCTGGACTTTTTGTCTCTCTCATTTTTAAGTGACCTTTGTATTGCTTTTTCATGAATGACAACAAAGATTTCTATATTTTCATGTGAAACCAGAGACACAAAAACCAAACAAAGAACACTGCTGGGTAAACTTTTTGCGTTTGTTTCTCGGAAAGAACTTCTAACAACAGTATTTATCTAAATTACTAACATACCGTAGTGCAAACATACGGTTTTTATTCATGTTTATTGTTGCAATATACATCTGTGTACATCTGTTAGAGCTAATTTAAACAAAGACGTTTATTTATGGCCCAGGAACCATTGCTCCATTCTTTATCTGTCAGATATGCCTAACTTCAATACTATTTAGCATTTTAATTTGAAAATACAGTATATTGTTAATCAGATATAAAGTTCTAGGTGTTTTCTGAGGGTTTCAGTCCGTGTCTTTCTCTCATGTTCACCTCTCAGATCTGTTTGTCGTATTTATACACCCTGTCTTCTGGCGTGCTCTCACTTTGTGTGTTAACCGTTCAGTTATACTTCTCTCTCATTAGGCATCACCATGGCCTTCTCACATTCAAAGCAATAGGTTTGGAATGGAAACCTCCTAAAGCATTATGGGAAACTGAGTCGTCTAGGCGTTTTTGTAAACACTCAGACAGCTTGAATGACTGCTCCCTCCCTTTAAAGTCCGAGTGAAACGTTTCTGTGGGTGAGTGATTTTTTTTTTTCTCTGATCACAGGTTAGCCATGATACCGCAGCTATGTAGCTAATGTCCCACAGGTCACACACACACACACACACACACACACACACACACACACACACACACACACACACACACACACACACACACACACACACACACACACACACACACACACACCAACACACTATAACCAGACCTGGTCAAATACTTTTTATAATATTAAAAGTGGAAAGGAACTTGCTCATAGAAAGTGATGGTACAACAATAAGAATACAGATGTTATTAAAATGATGAGAAGTACTGCAGCAGACCAGTGTGGACAGTCTGGTTTATTCTGCTTCTCTGCTCTGGTGTTTGGGGCTTACCTGCACAGTTGCACAAACAGTAATGATCATTATTTTGCCAGATACAGTATTACAATCAGTATTAATGTCAGTTATTTTTGTTCAAATGTTGGCATCTTACAACAACATCCTGACTGTTTTCAAAATGAAGTAAAATGCTGACTCTTGCCAGTATTGTAAAATAATGATGTGTTTTATTTTGAAAAGCTTTGATTCACTGCACCATATTCGGGCATGATTTGAAATACTAGCCATGATTTGATCATCAATACTTATAATACTGTCACCTGAGTTGTGCAGGAAGCCTCATCCATTTCATACATCAAGCAAGCAACTAAACACACGTAACAATAAAACTGTAGCTGTTTGACTCAGGTTTGATGCACGCAAACACATGCATGGCTTCAGCTTACGATACTCTCTTTATGGATGAGCGAGTGTACTTATCAGGGCTTCGTATTCATTTGTGCTTTCCAAATAATGTATAGGAGCCGTCCCCACAGAGCATTATAGGGCTGACGAGCTCCACAGCATGAGTATAAAATATTTGGACCTCCTACTCTACTGAAAACCATGATGAATTTTATGTTTATATATTTCAGCTGCACTGTCACGGCGGTGCCATCAGATAAATCTGGTACGAGTGCCTCTTGTCTAAAACTATGAATACTAAGTATGAATACTTCAGTTTAATTAAAATAAAGTCTGTGAGGTGGCAAAACAACAAAAAGAAACTCTGGGCTGCTGTCTGGTAAATGAAGTCGAGACGGTCCATCAAAAGTCCACTTCTGAGTAAACATGGCTAATTTTCTAAAGAACATTTCAGGCCTTAATTATTCATCATTTTTCTATCAAAGTTGTGATTTTAAGAGAGCAGTTTTTTAATCACAGCAGCTGTGCTTTTATTTGTTTATAGTTTGATAAATTTCTGGGGCATTTTATTCTTTTATTAGATAGAAATTAGAAAAATGAGAATAAAAAGATGGAGACATGCAACAAAGATCCCATCACCAGTCACAAACCATAGACACTGGAGTTCATGGTCCCTGCCTCAACCGGTCACAGCCTCAGTGATTGCAGTGCACACAGCTCTCTATCTGCTGCTGGAAGATCATGTGATATTCTTGAAAGCTTGAAAACAGCTACTAAATGGACCCTCTTGTTAGACTGTTATGTCAACTACTGTTTCCAAAGGCCAGAATGAATCCAGGCACCAAATACAAACTAATTTTCACATAAATAACTGAAAAAAGACCTAAAACAATAAAGTAATCACACTATGACCCTTCTCCTCCACTATAGTAGGTGTAATAGTGTGACAAAGTACTAAGTGTAGAGAAGTCGATCCTGATATTTTGTGTGAAAGCACAAATTCTCCCGCGTACACAGAACACATCCTGCAACGCCATGTTGGTCCACTTTACTCCTGCTGCTGCAGTCGGCAAGAGAAGGAGACACACACTCCAACTGTAGAAACTAAACAACAGCGCAGCAGCTTTACTGGTCAGAGTCACTTCCAAACTATCCACAACACCTTCCTCAGTGCACAGAGCCTCTGCAGGTAACCTTAGCGTATGTGTGAAGCGTGTGTGAGAGTGAGATTGTAATTTATGTGATCATGATGATTGTATGAGAGTGCCTGGGTAACACGTCTTCAGTTAGTGTGTGTGTTCATGTGTCCACACAGTAGTTCTCCACACACAGATCATTTTTCATCGAGCTACCCCCCCCCCCCCAGTGCTCGGACTGCAACACACCAACTCACCTCAGGGAGAAAAACAATGACCTGTGTCTCTCACACACACACACACACACACACACACACTGCTAAAATCTTCTGAGGATACCTCATAAGTTAAAAAGTCTGTTCTGGATTTAAAGTTTTGTGTCTTCCCTCTCCTTCACCCAGTCTTGTTTTGGTTTTCTCTTGTGGCGCCGTGTCTCTCTCTCTCTCTCTCTGAATAAAGTGTGTGTAAGGGCTTCACTCTGTCTCTGTACTGTTATCTCAGCCTTGTTTCTTCACGTACACGTCCGTCAGTCTGTCGCACCTCCCCTCACTCGCTCTTCTTCTTCTTCTCGGTGTCTCCTTGTGCTTACTAAGGCAAAAGCAAAGAATGTTTCCAGCAAACACTTTTTTGTAACAACTTTAAACAATAAAGTGTAAAAGTGACACGTTTGACTGTGTGTGTGTTTTATTTGAATGGCCAGTATATGATGTTACAAAAACTAACAAAATCTGTTTTTCCAGCTTAGAAATCAAAAGCAGAGAGTAGGATATTTATATTACTTATTTATTTGTCTTGTGTTTAACAAACTCTCAACCTAAGCCTGAAATTAGTTAGTTTAGTCAAATCAAGGCATAAATATGTCAAGAAACGTCATAGAATATTAAGGCAAGAAAACGTCATAGTATAGTAAGGCATAAAACATTATATGATAGTAAGGCATAAAAACGTCAGAAAAACGTCATAGTATACTAAGGCATAAATATGTCAAGAAACATCCTAGAATATTCCTAGAATTAATTATAAGAATGACATTTCTAGTCATTTTGTGTTAATTTCAGTTTCTCCTGCTCACATCTTTTTGATGTCACCTGTCCTGATTCTGATTATTAAAAAAAAAATCTTTATGGAAAAGAAGATGCCAAATACTGGATCAGATAGAAAAACAAATACAATTCGTAAACGTTTCAGTTCTGTCCTGTGATCTTCGTTGTGTCCCTCTTCTTTGTATTTCGCCTCATTGACACCAGACTTGAAACCATCGTACAGTTAATGTTATTATTCAATAACTTTTTCATCCGACTGAATGAAGTTGACTAAATGAAGCGATCGTGGGTGCACAGACACAAGGGATGACACATGCTCAGTAGTTCATATTGCACTTTATTCAGCTCTGAGGAGGCAGAACTGGGCGCAGACCTCGTCACTGTCACAGATCAACATTTATTGCTTTTGGGCTGCCAGGCCGCACGCATCTCAAGTATTCTCACACTAAAACTCTTGCGTACATGGTTTAAAATGTCCCGTCTCGCTTTGTGTGAAGACTCAACGCTGAATGACGAGATGGACAGAGAGGAAACGGGAGAGATTTGACACCATAATGGAGGCATAAGGTTTCATACAACATGTGAACATACTGAATAAAAACAAAAAAATAATGCACAATGTGACATTTTTCATTATCTACATCACACTGGGACTATATAAATAAAGGCCTTCACTTTAAAATGAATATAATTTTAACTATTACATAACATTTCATGGCATTGTCACATATCAGACCTGGACAGACATGGATCATTACAGTCCAAAAGCTACAGGGCAGAACAAAGACGAGAGGTTGTTCGGGCATCACATGGGTGACATCTTGGTTCCTTTCTATGGCACAAACTCCTGCGAGCTTTACAGTCTTTACCAGGTTAGTCTGGACACTGCAGGTGTAAATACACCCAGTGGAAATACGTTCTACGCTCTATAACCTGGGAATCACAGGAGAAAGGTTCAAAATATATTTCTTAGCACAAACTTCACTTCAGGCTTGACCTCTGCATGGTTCAACAAATTCACAATGCACAGTTTTGTTTCTTGTTTTAAGTTAACACTGCACTAATTGATATCTTTATTAATAAGATAATAACTATTAACAGTGGATCAAATGACTACAGAGTTGTTTTTGTGTGTGTGTGTCTTTGAGCCCATTGTTTTGGTGACGTCACACTGCTCCAATAAACCCACTGCACGCTACCTGGCATGAACATATCACAGCTGATCTGTAGAACCATGTGGAGAGCTGTAGCGAGGTCTTTCTGTTTGTGCTAGAAATAAATGCTCTAAACTCCTCCGTCACTTCAGAAAGCAGATTACTTCTCTGCGTACGTACATTATGTGATTGCATTAGCAGTGCTGTAGGTGCACACTGTGGATGAAGCTGATGATGATGATGAAATCATCAGGTTTGTTCCTCATTCATATCTATTTTCAGTATTTTGACAGGTTTTTATTTTTCTGGCCAGGAAACAGTGAAAATCATGAGTTAAAACTAGAATTCAAAAAATAAAAATCTGAAATGTTGATTTTCTCTCTATCATGAATATAGCTCATTATGTAAAGTGACAGCTATGATTAGCTCTTTATTAATACTATTACAGTTTTATATTATATAATAAACAGCCTGTAGAGGGCAGTATATGCAAGCTACACACACTCCCAACAACCAACCGTGTAAACTACGTCCTAATGTACCACTGCACATGCGATCACACACAGCCTTCGGGGAAACGCCACTTCCTCTCACAATCTGTTGTCGGGTAAACAGGACAAACAGGTCACATGACTGGGATAAAGCCAAGTAGGTCACATGATGGGGCAGGGGGTAGGTGGTGGGGTGAAAAAGGCCTCAGTGGTCCAGGATGCGGAGGTTGCCGGAGACGATTTTGTTTTCCAGCATGGAGCCGGCAGGAATGTCGATCCGATCTCCGTGGTTGGCGATGATGATGACGGTGCCCTGTGAGGAGGAAGAGTGATGGGTTTAGTTCAGCGGTGGAAGACGTCCTCATTTACTCAAGGAAAGTAGGTACAGGTCCGTCAAAACTGCACAAAGCACAGAACCTGAGTAAATGCACTTGGTTACTTTCCACCACTGGTTTAGTTTTTGTTTCTCGGGACCAGAGCCGATGGCTGAATGACATTTTCAAGCCAGGACTTGATTAAAGCAATAAATCAGCTTCTGTTATGTCCTCTCATTACATCTTTGTTCAAATGTACGTGACCTGAGAGCTGAGACCAGATTATGATCTCTTAGGGTTGCATTTAAAGGTCAGTGAAATTTAAGGATTTCTCTGTATCTTTTCACCCGCAGCTGCCTCAAGTGTTTCTCCAGAATTCATCTCTGCCACATGAACAAATATAGAAACTAAAAAAATCCCCAGCGGTTTGCAGCCTTTTTAAGATCCACAGTCTGGTACCATCAGTGTGGGCAATATAAATATTGCAATGGTCTTTCTGGGTTATCGAGTTCAACCAAAGACATTTCTGCGCGTTTAGAACTAATCTGAATCTAATTTTGTGGTGAAGTGACATTTGTTCCCCTTTAAAAGCCTTTTAAAATCCACTTTGATTTTACATGAGAGTTTACAGTGAGCACAGTGCAGCAGATACATACAAGTGATCATTTTCCTCGTCTCATATCCAGTAAAACTTCATTTTGAGTGAAGCCGTTTACCTTGAGCGAAACATTTTTCCCAAAGGTGACGTCTCCAGACACTGTGAGGTGGTCGAGCTCCAGCATGTCGGGGATGCTCTCGAAGCGGGTCAGGTACTCCTGGACCTGAGCACAGACGGACACGAGAGGACACTTGTTTATCCTACTGTATGTGAGGGTCAGGATCCATCTCATCACTTCCAGCCACATGAGAATTAAGTTTCGAGAAGAAGTGTTGGAAGTGTTAGAAGATACATTCAGTACAAATGAATATTTTCTGAGATAAGGCAATAAATAAATAAAGAAATTTAAAAAACTTTTTGTATTTACTGATGTTTGTATGTATTTATGTTTTTGTTTTTTTCCCCCTACTTATTTCTGCATGTATTCATTTCCATATTTAACTATTGATTTATTTACTGTGTCACTTTTGGTCTCAGATAAAAGCTTAAAAGAAAATCACTTCTGGAAAACGTTAAAACCACACGTCTTTGCGGGCGTTGAACTAAACTTTTAACATCTGCTGTTTAGTTTTATATCTGAGCCGATGACAACAACACAGACAGTGTTCTCATTGTCACCTGGGTGAAGGAGCTGCCCAGTTTGACGTGCGGCGTGGTTGGGAACTCTCTCTTGGGGCTCATGGTGAGAGAGCCGGCCTCCAGGCTGTACAGGTTGGACATGACCAGCAGAAGGTCCGACGTGGTCTTGACGGGCAGGAAGCGGCTGCGAGGTACATTTATTCCCAGGGCGTTGTCGAAGCTTTTGATAGCTGCGCCCACCGCCGTCTCCAGCTGGATGACGTTCTGTCCACCGTCAAGTGTCTGAGGATGAACGAGAGGAGGGAGAAGTAACTTTATGTTTAAAAACAACACGAAGAAGTGTTTGCGGTTGGTGCTGTGATTTCATCCGAGTTCTCTCACACACACATGAACCTACTTGAGAAACATTGCCAAGATTTGAATCCATTAATGAGCCACAAAGAACCAAGTTCGACCTTTTGTTTTACATAGAAAAAGTGAATCATGTTAACACACGTTACACACGTAAAAAGTCTTATTAGACACTATATAGTTTATACTAATACTGTACACAACTTGCATTGTTAATCTGCTTTGGCAACAGTAAGTTAACTGTTTAGTCATACCAGTAAAACTAACTTGAATTGGAAATTGTTACGTAACTGCTTCCAAAGACTTTTTGTAGCTGAAACATCTGTGGTTCACTGTGAACACATCTGTTGTGTGGTTGATTTAAAACCTCGTTTCTCCAGAAATATCAAACCGTCACGACTTGCTGGTCATGATAGTTTTCAGTTTCATCAGCAGAGGGTTTTACCATGTAGCACCACTAATAAAATAATACCTCAACTCCACACATCTTCTCTCTGTATGCCAAGCTCCTCCTAGTTTGACTGGCTGGGAAACCACCAACTGGTTCTTTCTTTGATAATATTTGCACCAGTTCTGTTCTGGGTTTATGTTTGCACAGGAGGAAGTCTGTGGATTCTGTCCCCCATCACTTACACTGAAAGCACTTTAACGAGGGGTCTTTAATTATCATCATTACAGCAAACACAAACTGTTCCAGTCGTCTTGTGGAGATACTAGAAAAACTTTCTCGAAACCACACAGGTGGACAGGACGACGTGTAATGATATAACGATCTGGGTCATTATGTAACACTGACCACTTCATGGCCGTTTTTATCTTAGGTGTCTCTCATGTGCGGGGCTGTAACGGGAACCGTCCCCTCTAACCCTGTAGTTTTAGTACTGCACTCATACCTAGAAGGGACCACACATACGGTTACGTAAAGCCGCACAGTTATCAGCCGTTACATAACACTCACTATGTCACGGTGTGTGATTTTGTAACCAAGGGCTGGAAAATTACATCTATAGGCCGAGAAAGCAATAATCAGGACTGAGGCTGCTGCGGTTCGGCACTGAATTTATTACGCCGGCTGCAGATTTGCATACCCTGAGGCGGCGCTCCTCTGCTGGGGGGTGGGGGGTGGGGGGCGAGCACAACCAAAATAACATCAAGTCACATCAAGTCACATTTGTTTGCTGCAGTGCTTCTAACAGGACTGCTCTGTCACCAGGAGCTTTGGAGGACAGTGAAGGACAAACATGGAGCCTTAAAATTATGCTCCAACAAATGACGCTCACACCTTTCCTTCATGTTAATTCAAGCAGCAAGTTTTTAACTACCTCACTCTATGCTTCATTAAAAAGAAAATGAACTATATGCAAACGTGTGTGAGAGCTGCAGCAACAAGCTCGATAAGTAGAGCAGAATGAGATGCAGCTTTAAATTTTAAGTCACAGAAGTGACGTTTGTGGGGGAAATTAAACTTTTAAATTCATCTTTGGCTCTCTTATGCCATCCCACACACACACACACACACACACACACACACACACACACACACACAGCTGAAAATGGAGTCCAAGTAGGGCAGATGAGCCACAGGAGAGGTGACCAGAAAAGTGGATTGGTTTGAAGCTGCTTTTCTTCTCCTTTGTATGCAAAAACCTCACGACAACAAACAGCTCAGAAAGTGGAGCTGTGCAGGAATGCAAACACACATACACACAGAGAGGCTTCCAAATATGAGTCTCCTCTGCGAGCTTAGATTGTTTTTGTTTTTTATTTTAGCAAGATATGATTTATTCAGAAGTGGTGGTCTCCGTAGAGGAGAGCGCTGCAGATATCTCTCTGCTCTGCTGTGCGAGGCGTCTGTTCCCGACATGACGGGGTGGCCAGGGTGAAACAGCGCAGATGATGCTGTTGTGGGAGGTCGCCTGGTTAGTTAGAGTGAATTGTTTTTATCTGAGCATCTATTGCACACTCAGCCGTCCCTGTGTGGTCCCTCTTTCAACCGGTCCCCTCAGGGTTTCAGACTCACACGGACGATCCAACAACAGACTATTACAAGGACATGAGTCATTTCACTCTGATGGCTTCCATAATTTATTGAAAGAGAGGGAAGAGGGAGAAACATAAAGACGAGAGCAGATTTCAGGAGACTTATAGTATCTCTCCCACTGAGGGGAAAAGCCTGTGTTGTCGAACAGAAGGGAAATGTAAACAGGCGACATCTGACAGACACTGTGGGTCTCTCCTCATACAAAACTGTGACAACTGTTTTGTATACCTTCCATTTGTACCTTAAGTTCTCACAATTAGGGGATTTTGACGGCTGTAAACAGGAAGTATAATGTTGCCATGGAATCAGTGAGTTAGCGATAAGCTACAACTTATCCTTATTCTCAGGCAAGTTCTGTACTGGGATCGTCTTTTTCCTGTCATTTCTAAGAGGATTCATGGACATTTATCCACGATGGACATTAGACATAATCACATTCTCAGTAAGTCTATGTTACACTGAATTTCCAGGTCTGCGTGTTCAGATGTGACTGAGCTATGACTCTGAGAAGCACCACACATTTTGCACCTCCCCTTTCAACCTCTGGGGAGCCGCGGCTCACAAACCTCAGATCTGCAGGATTTATGTTGTTGCTGTCAAACACCGGGTTAAGACTCATGTTAGTTGTCCTGGTGGGAGCTGTGTTAGTCAGCCATCGTCACCAAAATCTTTGTAATGCACTGATGTTAACATGTTTTCACAGCAACGATGGCCATATGTGATAAATGCCGGTCCTCAGAAGCAACTTTAAGTCATACTTCTTTCATGTGCTCTGAGATTCAAACCTTCTGGCGTCGCCTCTTTGACATCAGAGGTAATGACCTTATAAATAATCTAGAACCAAATCCTTTATTAATCATCTGCAGCTCATCTGAATCAATGCTACACAACTGAATTGTTGTTATCTATGGGAAGCTACTCAACAACCTCTTCACTCACCTTGGGGTTGACTATGATCTCCATGTCCATTGCTTTCTGCTCCTGCAGCCTCTTGATAGCAGCCAGAGAGATCCACAGGTTGTTGGTGTTGAAGATCTTGAACTTTGAGACCGACTTGAATTCGTCCACATGGGCCTTGGGCACCTGGGCGATCTCCAGCAGACGCAGTTTTCCTTCGTACTGGATCAGCGTGCCACCCTGAAAATAAGAGTTGGCATTTTTCACAGCACGTTCTGTCCGTGTGAATGTCTGACTTCAATCTGTATTTTTAATAAGGACTGTTAAAAGTTGTTCTTTAGAGTAATAAAAGTTGGTTGGTGTTAGTTTTCCATTCCGCTAAAAAACCCTTTTTATAAGTCACGTCATAATTGAAAACAGGAGTCCAGTAGTTGCTATTTAACTGACGTCCACTAGAAAGTAAGTTATGATATCACCAAGAGTTTAGATTTTTACAAGTTAGAGTGTAAAAATCTTCACTCGGCCTCCGTCACCTTATAACACCTGCTTTAAATGCTGCTGTGGACAAAGCCATTCAGAGTTTCAGCTTCAGACTACATCAAGTGATCACTCTCAACCATCACTTATGACCCAGTGGAAGTGTGTTGAGGTGGATTTAATCTGCCTGTATCTTCTCATTCTCTTCTTATTGTTCTGTGTTCAGGACGTTTCTGGGCTGCAACCTTTGAGCAAAGTGGGAGTGTAGCCCCCTGCCCTCCGCTCTCTCTCTGTGTCGTGGACGTACGTGTGTCTTGGACCTTCCCACAGGTGTGTACAAAGGTGTGGGTGTGTTTATTTGTGCTTTAGACCATAGCTGCTATCATACAATCAAACACCACTCCCTGTCCTCATTTACTCTTTAGCTCACTCAACCACAGCTGCTCTCTCTCTCTCTCTCTCTCTCTCGCTCTCTCTCTCTCTCTCTCTCGTTGACCCAAACAGAAAAGAACAAACCCTGCATATCATAACCCACTGTTTCCGGGCGAACCCAGACCTCCTGCTGCTCCACATACCTTGACGTCGGCACGTGTCTTGTCCGTCACCTCCATGATGAACTCGCAGCGCTTGCCGTTGGGCTGGCTGACCAGGTGGTGCAGGATGTGGAGGTCCACGGTGGCCCCCAGGTTGTCGATGTTGGACACAAAGATGTACTCCTTGCCCTGCGAGATCAGCTCGTCCAACAGGCCCGAGTTGTAGAAGCTGGCGTAGATGTCGCCGTGGCCCGGAGGGTACCAGCCTTCTGCGTTTTGCCCCGTCATGGTCAGGCTTGTGGCCACAGGGAGGAGGGACTCTTTGTTGATGCGAGGGTACCTGGACAGAGGAAGAGTCGTTTGAGTGAGGCAACAATATCAGAACCACGATTTGATTTTGATTGGTCAGTAGTTTGTTTGTTGACTGGTTTTGATCTGATCCTCTGAAGTGAACCGGCTCCGGAACAGGTTAGGAGTTCAGCATCAGTTACCATGGTGATTTACCCCAGTAAGGAGCGAACTAAATGACTTTTCTTTAGCTGCCAACTCTTGTTGTCTCCCACTCCTGTCGCAGGCTTCGAGGCCTTGACTTTGATGCAACCATTTACAGTAAATACTTAATTGCATGATGAAATAGTGAATGAATAAATAATCCGAGTATGGTTTTCTGTTCGTATGTATATGGTCTGTGTCTCTTATATACAATATTCTGTGAATCTGATGTATTCAGCAGATAAACAGCACAAAGAGAAAGCATTAGCCAGGGAGACTTCACAGCAGGACTTCAAACAAACCCTCATGAAATCAACTTCCAAGAAGGCAGATGAGGCAACAAGCCAAAGAGTCCAAGCCATCATCGCTGTGTGCTTAAACTGATCAAAGGGTTTCTGAGAAGGATCGCGTCAGGTCGAGTTAACAGACCTCGTCGTGAGGAACAGCACTGAGTGGGAGCCGGCTGTGTTTTTGGCAGTTTGAGGATATTTCAGAGCGCAGATGAGCTGGTCAGGTGAGAGGAGCTGCACAGTAGAGGCACGGAAGGCCTTGTTAATTGAGGATTTATTCCAGACTGTTCCTGGGAAGATGCTTCAGATGAGTGGTTTTGATATGAGCTCATAGACTTCAAAGGTTTCATG